CTTTATTTAGTGCAGCTAGATTGATTATTAGTGTATAATTGTAGGCGGTTCGTCTGATCTCATCGGGATCATTTTGAGAATGTCCCATTGCGGCGCATGTGTTCTTGTGAATTTAACTTAATTTCTCGGTACGTAAGACACTATTGTTGATAATATTGTCGTTTTAGAAGTTGTCATACATTGAGCTTTGACATGGACGTAAATTGTTATTTGACTTTAGTGTACCTTTAAAGGAAGGTGGAATAAAGTAAAACCAACGGTGCTGCCATTATTTCTTTCGAACTGTGCCCTCTCGATGAACACTTCGACTCTTTTAAGGCACTTCGTTAATCTCAGCTTGTATGTGCAGGCTTGTCAAAATTTACCATGCGCAGCAAGATATTTCATATTGAGATGTGGATTTACTGAAATCAGCGTCCATATTGTTTCGGTTTAATTTCTTCTTTCCATTCTTCAAGTGGGAAAACCTCTGACAGAGCTATAAGTCCTAACAGGAGGAGTGAATTATCGGGGAAAAATATATGCCACCCAGTGGCTTCTAAATGAAGCAGCGCTTCTACACGCCAACGACGTGCACACCTATCTTTCTCCAAATGGGCAGAGGAAAACGGATTCCGGCTGAACCCAGGAAAAAGCACGTGTCTTGTTCTCCCGAAAGAGAGGCATGCACTCAGACCCCGACATTGAACTGAACCGCCAACGTCTGTCTGTGAATGCGGAGCATAAATTCCTAGGCTTAATCTTGGACAACAAGTTGACCTTCGTACCACACATAAAGTATTTAAAAACAAAATGTTTAAAAGCCATGAATGTTATAAAAGTGTTGTCACGTACTACGTGGGGTGGTGACAGGAAATGCCTCATGAACCTGTATACAAGCCTCATTCGCACCCGCTTAGATTATGGGGCCATTGTTTACCTGTCTGCGACTCAAAGCGCTTTGAAGATGCTGGATCCCGTGCACCATTTAGGCATCCGCCTTTCTACGGGTGCTTTTCGCACCAGCCCCGTAGAAAGCCTTTACGTTGAGTCAAATGAGTGGTCGCTTCATCTGCAAAGAACTTACATGTCCTTTGTATATTTTCTTAAGGTGAAAGCAGACAAGAGGCACCCCTCATACTGTACTATTAATGACTTGTCGAGCTCCATTCTGTTTCAAAACAGGCCTTCAATGAGGCAGCCCTTCTCAGTTCGCCTGAAGGGTCTAGCTGAGAACACTGGAGTGTCACTCGAACACAGTTTAATGGCTCCTGTAGCATACCTTCCACCGTGGCAGTGGCAGACTATAGATTGCGATGTGTCTTTCCTAGAAATTTCTAAACATGCGCCTATTGCACATATTGGAACATACTTCCTGGAACTTCAACACAAATACACACGTCCCGAGTTCTTTACAGATGCCTCTAAGTCTAACTCCTCTGTGTCCTACGCTGCTGTTGGCCCTTCCTTTTCGGATGCTGGCCCTCTACATCCAGGCACAAGTATCTTCACAGTGGAAGCTTACGCGATACTTGTGGCAGCTAAACACATCAAACAATTACAAATACAAAAAGCAGTAATTTTTACAGACTCCCTCAGTGTGGTAACGGCTCTGCACAGTCTTAAAAAACAAAAAAACCCTGTCCTCGTTTCACTTTACTCCATTTTATGTACACTCTACACACTCAACCAACATGTTGTAGTGTGCTGGGTGCCAGGGCACCGTGAGATTCAAGGCAACGTGAGGGCGGATGAGCTCGCTGCATCCGTCCACAAAAGCACTGCCCCTACACCCATATCAATCCCGGCCCTTGATCTTAAGCCGTCTCTCAAACGAAACCTCAGGGTATACTGGCAGAGCAAGTGGGATACACACACACAAAACAAACTACACGTTATTAAGCCACACCTTGGTCATTGGCTGCCCGTATCGAAATCGCGTCATACAGAGGTAATACTAATGAGACTCGGGATAGGACACACATACACGACACACACATATCTTTTGTCTGGTGGCGATCCACCATTGTGTGACAGATGTGGTGAAGCATTGACAGTCCTTCACATGTTAATCCAGTGCAAACACTTAGAAACTCTAAGAAAACGACATTTTCCATTACCCTACCGACAACATATACCTTTACACCCTGCGATGTTCGTCGGTAGGGAACCGCTTTTTAGTCATAAATCATTGTTAGCGTTTTTAAAAGTAATTCATAATTTTCATATCATATACCCGGGCATTTCGTAGCACGACCTCTCTAGAGAGGTTTTTGCTGCGGAGGTTACACAAGAAAGCACTTGCCTCACGGCCCTTGGACGCAAGGGTATGAACGAGTGAGGCACTTGTGCTAATGCCATGCATATCCACCATCGTCTTTATTATCACCAACTTTTGTCATCTATTCACACCACACACATCTTTCACGGCATGGTCATCATTTTATTACTTGTATGTTCTTACCCGCCTTATCGCGAGGAATTTTATGGCCCTTATACAGCCGCTTATCACAATCATTGTCCATATTTTTAGTAAGATGAACTGGCGCTCTTTGGCCAACAAATGGCCCTTGCGCCAAAAAACACCATATATCATCGTGCACACCTATCTTTGAGTGACGTCACGCTGCCTCATATTCGGTCCTCAATTTTACGTCTCGCGTTGTTTATGGTAATTAGCCGAAACTCCTGCGAAATTTTTTTCGTGTGGTATTTTTAGCTTGCTCGTGGAGTTGATGAGTATTGCTGGAAATATATTTTTTTTTTCTTCAGGAGGCGACGCGCTTATAACTTGCAAGGTAGTGTGAAACATTGCTAATATGCCTGTCTCGCTTTTGGAGGCAGTATAGTCGTGTTTAACGTTTAGTGAGAGAAACTAAGGTCACAAAAGTGGTGCACGAGTAAACCTGCTAACAGCGAAGCACTTGAGCTAGCCGCAATTTGTCCGTGCGGTCGCAAAACTGTCATCCTCATGAACGGGCATGTAGCTCAGAAATTCGGTAAGGTCCACTGCTCATGACTGGTCCAATAAAAGTGACGAGTGAAGCCGTTAACTCAGCAAATGTCTGTGAAGCGACGGCGGTGAGTCGAAGACTCCGGGTACATTCAATAAGATAATGCCTTAGAGAACGGGTTAGGTCAACGTTACTAGTAACGTTGGGTTAGGTAACGGCGGCTGCAAAAAGACCCCGAAATGGATCGAAGGTCCTATGCCAACGACGACGTGCTCGTACATCTTATTAGATGTGCGAACGCTTGGTTTCAGCGCGAAATTTCTGGGGTGAAGCTGCTTAAGGCGGCACTCGTTCGTCCCTCGTAGTAGTGCGTATCATGTCTTACGCTTTGAATTGCAAGGTGGTGCCGGTGGGAGATTTCTCCTGTGCGTTGTTGAGCAACAAGAAATTCGCAGCGTGCGCGTTAACTAAAAGCCGAATTCTCCTGTCTCTCATTCCCCATTAGCAGCCATTGGCATGTACATTGAGAACTATCTGACAAAAAAGGGTTGCTACGTTATACTCGCTGGGTGTGACCTCTTTGGTTTTAGGAATGTTTAGCGAGCGTGGGTCGCAGTCCCATGAATTCAGTGAACTAGTATATACCATGAACTCGAGGTGGTTAAAGGTGGGAAGTAGACACGAGGTGCAAGCTGTAAGAAAGTGTGCGTGTGCCACCTCTCGTTTAGTCCTTGGAATGTCCGCTGGATGGCGGCGCTTCTATATGCGGAAGATATGATGAAAAGATACGAGATGGTGGTACTTGGAGCGTTGACTAGATGGACGAATGGACACACAGACAGATGCATGGACGGACGCACGGATGGCTGCACGGACGGATGGACGCATGGATGGATGTAGGGGCGGATGCATGGATGAACGCAGGGATGGACGCACGGATGGATGTGTGGACGCACGAAGAGACGCACGCATGTACGGGCGGATGGACGCACGGATGCTCACCCAGACGGTCGCATGGACGGACGGAAGCAGGAACGAATGGACGGACGGATGCTTCTCCCCACTCTTCATCATTCACCCCGTGGATATGCTGCCATTTTTTTCTCTCTCAAATTCGGACATCTGTGTCGTGTCTATGACTGTTTGTGGTTTTACACAAACCTCGCTGCGCTGAGAATCAACGTAAATAAAGAACCTTTCATCACCAAGCCAGGCAACGACCTAGAAGCCTAGCAATGGCCTAGAAGAAAAAGCAGGAAGGAACCCTCGTCACATAGCTAAGATTTGGAAACAACCTGGCAGCAAACAAATTTAATTAGTTTTCAGAATTGTCCAGCTTCCCTGTTGGTATTTGGAAGAGCCCACCGGTAGGTGCGCAAAGATGCATTTCCCACACCATCAATATCGCGAGCATACAGTGCCGCACAAGTGGGCTTCACCCTACAAAGCATCGACATGTGGCAAAGCTGTATTTTAAGGGGCCTGCAGTGTACGTGCAGACGAATGCAGCCTTGCGGGGCTTGGTGCGTAGCGCAAGTTCCGCCTTTTTTTTTTTCCCTTGGTAATCTTCCAGTGAGCTTCAGTGTCTGTTATTAGGGCTGTCAAGAAGTCACGGGAGAGTGGTATTAACAAATGCTAAGTGATGTTTTATTACCTTTCATGGTTACCCCTGTTGACCTTGAGGATATCAGAAATAAATAAAGAAAGAAAGAAATAACCCTGTTTTTGTTATCTCCTTATTCGGGCTGTCTATTGCTGGCTCGCCCATTTCACCAACAATCGTTCGAAGTGCCAAGCACCCATCACGCTGCATCCGTCTGCACGTAAACTGCGGACCCCTCGATAGCTAGCTTTGCCACATATAGATGCTTTGACAGGTGAAGCCCACTTGTGCAGTATTGTGTGCACGCGATAGGGATGGTGTTGGAAGTATAGCTTTGCGCCCGTACTGGTGGGCTCATACTAATATGCGCGCTGCTTCTCACGAAATGTTACGTGTTGGAAGTTATGTCGTTTCGAACTACTTCGTGGACTGCTCTTACATCACTTCTGCATTTTTGATTTCAGTTGCTGAACGACCTCGCCAGGAGTCTGGTATGGAACCAAGGTGGCCCAAAGAAGGCGCAGGCTAACTCGGTGTTTTACACAGGTGAGTGTTTGATTGTGTCGCTTTCGATTTCCGATTTTCGGAAAAACGCCAAAACAAAGCTTTGTGCTGTTGCTTTCGATGCTCGAAAGGCATGTTCTGCCGGGCAGTGGTATAGCCAGAATCTTTTTTTTTTTTCGAAGAGAGAGAGAGAGAGAGGATATCAACCATTTTTTTTATACACAATCGTGCTTAGCCAGGGAGGAGGAAAGTTGTCAAACGGCCCTCCCCCATCTGGCAACGCATCTCTTTTCGTGGCAATTCTTGTAGCGGTTCGTTCAGTCTAACGCTCTTGAAGCACATCGTGACCGGCGCTCCGCTAGCCCGACGTGCGTCCAATAGTCGTGCTGCAATTTTCGTGCTATATTTTGTAGTTTCATTCACAATAACGCATCCGTCACAACATTGTAAGCTTCTACCTCCGCACCCCCCCCCCCCCCCCCCAAAAAAAAAAGAACAAAACGAACAAAATGCCTACAAAGCAGCTAACCAGAATTATCTGCGCTGTACATGACACCTTCCCGGTGTAGGGTGTTCGTGTCTGCATTTTGCAGTGCACACTTGTTCATTCATTCATTCATTCATTCATTCATTCATTCATTCATCGGCAGATGGTTTGGCTCCGGCGACCGGTGGCTGCCTGGGACCATGCCGGGGTCCTGCGGCTCTGGCAGCGCCCGCGCAGCCCATCTACTACGAACCGCCGGACGCCGTGGGGCTGGTGGCGACCGGGTCTCCCCTGCGCGCGGCCATTATGATGCCGGCGCCGGGATCGTCGTCTTCCTCCTCTTCGTCCTCGGTCTTGCTTTCCGACCGGTGCTGCGGGACAAGCGCGATGAGCAGCACCATCCCCCGCCCTAACGCTGTAGGGTCTCCCTTCAGGGCGCCCAAGCCAATCTCGGACCCCGGTCCGGCCACGACGGCCCCGGTCTACGGTGCAACCACCGAGGTCAGCGCATTTGCCATTAGTGATGGCTCAATAAAGCGAAAAACTTGATGCTTCGTATTAGTAAGGTATATAACGGAGGAAAGTCTTATATGACTCATCGGTCGAAAAATCCGGTGTCTGGCGGCGTCGTAAACACGTATGATATCAACATTCTCGTTAGAGAGAAAGAAAAAGCTCTTTAAGCGAAAACAGATAATTCTGCCGGCGCATATAAAGGTACTTGCTACTATGAAAAGGGAAATGGGATTGAGGGCAGAAAGACCCCATATGTAGAAGCACGGGAAAATAACAAAAAGCTATGATCGTGATATGTACTATGTATCGCAACCTAATGATTGTGATTTAATTTGCTTTACAGTTTTGCCGCTAAGTTAATATCTTCGATGAAGCTGAACTTGAATTTTAAAATCTCACGTTTCTGTGAAGACGACGTAGGTCCAAGTATTTCTCCTCGATCTGTTAAATACATATTTAATGATGCCAAATGGTTGTGAGTGCAAATTGAAATATATATAAAGAGGCCTTAAAGTGAACGAATGTACAGCAAAATGAATCTGTTCAATGAATGTGTCCAATCATGTGAATTAATTGTGAATAAAAATAACTCGCGAATGAATCAAGTGACATAGAATAAAAGTACATTAATGTGAATTTGTAGGTCAATAAAGAGTGGTTGAAATAGATTAATAGTGTCTCGCAAAGCATAGGCTTTCGTATGTGTGAACCTTAGTGTTGACTAAAGAAACCAGGTGATGTTTTTTTTTTTGCGAACATTAATACTGTTGATCCGTCTTATTAGTTTAATTATTAGAGGAGAAAACTAAGTTTCATGTCTCGTTCTTAATGTTTAGTGCCGAAACCTAAAACCTAGAGTATTTATGACGCATAAGGGAATTTAATCTTCATCCTTTTTGGTGAAACGCCAGTAACCAGTACAGACCGCTGCTCAAAAAAGACCCGTCGGGTAGCTTTTATATGCCGCAAGGATTAACCAGCGAAGCAAAATCCGTAAACGGGGGTTATCAATAACTGGACGTATCGTCTTCAAGATTTTAACTGATTTCAGATCTAGCCTTGTACGATGAAACGGCAACAAGCAAGGAAGCACAAAGTAATATTCGTGTTTTTGTGCCGCCATTCGGATATTTCGCCCACACAAACGTAGAGATGCGTTTCTTAATGCGAAGACAACGAATATTTTGGGGTCGCTTGCTGGATTCCGTGCCGACCGGTTCTGCGCCCACGCGCTCGGCGCGCTTGCGATCTCCGGCGTCAGCGTAGCTCTGGCCGACTGGGCCCGCCCTACGTCACCTCCTGCCGCCGACGACCTTCGACGACAGTGTAGCTCTGACTTACTGGACTTGCTCTACGCCATCTACCGACGCCGAATGGAGCTCTCGCAAGTGTGCCCCGTCCTCGGACTCCAGTGACCGTGCTTCCATCTTTCCTGTCTCTCCTATCCCCCCAGTTTGTTGTTGCTTCATCTTCCTCTTTTCTACACCTTTACTCCTACCCTTTTTATCCCTCCTCACCCCCATCCCTCGTGAGCTACTGTGGCGGTGTCGCTCACTGAAGCAGACAATAACGGGGCTCACTTTTCTCTTCCTTTCTCTCTCTTAAGAATCACTCACACACCGAATATTTTCGGAGATAAGTCGCTTCGACTTTCAAACTTTCCCACGTGATTTAAAGGGTGCGAGAATCGACTGCTCGCTTTGTTGGTGCGAAATGGTGTGCTTTGCGCAGAAGCTATAGACAGAGAGGTGCGTGAACGCGCGCACATGAGCATTATTCTTGACGGTTTTTTTTTTATTGTTGGAGGCTGGTTCCGAATTTACATACGCAACGGGAACAGCTTGAGATGGCGCATGACAACTTCTTAAACGACAATACAGACTCGCTTACACACTCTCAGCCTATCTCTTCAATACTTTTATTTCGCGTCATTTTTCGCATCGTTGCAATTCCGAGCATTTCATCGACATTACTCTGTTTATCCGACGTAGTGTTTCATGACGCGGAGGTGGAACTATGTGGTGTACGACGGCTTCCTGACAGTGTTCATATTACTCTTTTTTTTTTATCGCACAGGTATGCGACGGCAACTGCGGCAACATCATGTGCAGCGTTCGCGCCTCCTCTGACGGCAGCCCTCCGTCGTCCGAGCCGTCCACCTTGCTGCTTCCGGGTCACACGACGGTGCTGACGTCGTCACCCAAGGCGTCTTCACCGCCCGGCGCGTCGGACCTCGTCAACGACGACGACTGCCGAGGAGACGTTAACGCTGGCGGCGACTGCAAGAACGACGGTTCGCCCACGGGGGACGCCCAGCGCACCGTGCCCGACGTGGCGCACGACAGCGAGCTCAAACGTGCCGCGCTCGCGGCGGCGGCCGCCGCTGGCGGCGCTGGCGACAGGCCAGCTTCCGACGACGTCCGCGCGACGGCGTTTGGTGCTGCGGTCGGCTCGGCGTCGTCGGTGGTGGCAGCGGGCGGCGTGACCGGCGGCGCTCCGAGTGTCGAGTCGTCGTCTGCCAACGTCAGGGTCGTTACGATGCTGGGCAAGCTTCGGGGACGCACGGTGAGTACAGCCAGCCTTGCTAGCCCGGTTCTTGTTCATTTGTTTGTTTCGCTCGACCTTGTTCAGTGGTTTCGTTTTCCGCAATTGCGAGTCTTCACTTCTCGCGCGGTGCGTAATTAATAATAACTTTTTTTTCTCGTGTAATGCGCGGCCCGGAAGCGAGATTGCGCTGCAAACGAAGTGTCCATAGGCTGTGGCATAGGGGTTGTTGTTTGGCATTGCGCTTTCTCTTAGAAACGCATTACCGTTTCTTTGCTTGCCATGGTGTCACATGAGAGAGCTGCCGTGTAAGAGCCATGAAGGTTATATTGAAACACGATATTTTCACATTACAACATCCTGATATTGGAGTCTCCCGGTGTTATAACCTTTTCATCCGGGTCCTTTGGCACTAATCCGATGTTTCTAAAAAAGTTTGAAAGGATGATTTAAATTTTCATGAACGTATATCTTTCGCTGATCATGCTGTCAATCTTTTGACGGCACAAACGGAAGAAGCTAAGTCTCTGTCATTATTTTTGCCTCTCTTATAGCGTGGTTCTGTGCTTTTTTGTTTGTACCATGGTAAACCGAAACCAAGAAATGCTTAGAAAGATGCTGCATTTTAGGGGCGATGCCCCCCATTGTCTGCTGTCTGTCACCGTAGCTAGTGCCCGAAGGGAGCTGTCACCTTTTTTCCAGCGGCGGCGAAACCGCAGCTCGGAACTGTACACACCTTCGGTGTCAGGGCGATGGCGCCAGTTCGCTTCCTCTTGCGTTATCGCCGAGCGTTCCCTTCCGTTACGTTAGCGCCGCTTCGCCGCAACGCCTATCCGGTGTGTCCCGATCAGCGCGCAGGGTGTGTTGCCGTTGTTACATTCGCTGTGTTTACTGCGGTTCACGTTGTCGTGCAAGATTATTGGAGTCTTAACGTCACAGTATTGCATAGTTTTGTTCTTGTGCGAGTTTGCTGTTACCGAATACACTAATGATATGCAAACGTATGCACAGCCTATAAGTTTGCGTTACGATAGACAAAGCTTATGAAACCCATTCGCAAACAAAGCGCACGGAAAATTATTTGTTTAACTGCTGTGTAATCTATTGACCCTAATTTGGTAGAACTAAAGTAATCCATAAATCACCCATTTTACTGGTGTAAACCAGCAACCTTCGCGTGTTCGAAGAAGTGATGGCTGGTTAGGTTGTAATGGTACTTGGACAGGTTGAAGACAGCACGAGAACGGCGCGGACTTCGATGTGGTGTGTCCTTATATTTTTGTTTTCTCCGTGTTGCTTTTGCGCTGTATTCGAGATATCAAGTACTTCGAATACTACTTGTGTCTAACTTTAATTGCGTCGAACTAGGTAACGTTTTGTCCGGTTGAGTTCGTGCACGTGTTCGGTTCCGGGCTACGACGATGTGTTCCTGCGGAAGCGAAATGCAAAAAAGGCGCCCCCCTCTGTACTTGGATTCAGGTGCAGTGTAAAAAGATCCAGGCAGTCAGATATAATCCGGAGTCACTATTGGCATAGTCAAAGAGGCCGGAGAGGTGGGAGTGTCGCGGTTTGCCCCCCCCCCTCTCTCTCTCTTCCTCCTCCCGTAGTTTTTTTTAATTTTTCATGTATATATATACATGCACTGCACATGGTAATGCTTGAACATGGATGGAAGATGGTCCCGCCTTCATTAAAAAAAGAAAGAAATTGTCTAGGCCCTCTGGAGCCTACTACTACTTTTCTCAAAAGGATGTGGTGGTTTGGAGATTAAAAGATTTATTAATTGTTTTTGTATTAGAAGATTTAGTATCCGCTACTGTTTGTGCATGCCAGGTAGTCGTGTACGGACGCCTGTTCTCCAGCTGTGTAGCGTTGTGGAGTGAGGCGTCTGTTTCGGAGTTACGTAATTCGACAGAGGGAGTTACCTTTTTTTTCTTCTTTACAGTGTAGCCGTCATTGTTACGTGTTGCTGCGCGTAGCGGAAATCAGATTTACCGATTTCCGGATTTTACGTGCAGACGCGGCAGAACGTGGCGGTTCTGTTTTCTATCAATGAAACGTCCTCTTCCTTCTGCTACTCGCGTATTTCCGTCGATATTCCACCTCCCCTCCCCCCCCCCCCACCCCTTGTTTTTTTGTATGCTTCCTGGTCGGAAGTTAACTCCTCCCCAGAAAAGGTGGATCTGTAGGATTTTATCGTCTATGGGCGGTGGTCTTCCGGTCAAGACAGTGAAACGTGAGGATTTTTTTGCTTTGCATACTCACGTGTGATACTAGCTTTACAAGCCGTCGTTCTGTGTAATTCTTCTCGCAGACCTGGGCGATGGAATTTTTATGCCTAGAATGATTCCAATAGTCCGCCGCCGTGCTGTTTAAGGTGTTTGGTAGCTGACCCAAAGGTCGTGGGTTCGATGCCGGCTGCAGCGTTCGCGGTTTTGTGGAGAGGGTCAACGTTAAAGAGACTCGTGTGCTGTGCTATGCCAGTTGAAGTAAAAAAAAAAGGACTACAAATGGTCGATGTTTCCTAGATTTAACGTTATGCTTCTCTCATATTCAACAGACTGCACTTTAAGAAAAAAACGAATACGCACAGAAGCGTGTACGGTCGGCCACAAAAATTCTCGAAACGTGGAATTCGCAAAAAGAGAGAGAGAGTAAAGGAATTTACGTGGGGTTTTGCGTACACCTGCTAAATTTCGGAGGTTGCACACTAGTCTCGCAACGCGCGATGCACACAAGGATCCATTCAATAATGAGCACCGTGTCAGAGAAGTTACTCGCTGTTGGGCTATAGTCGTGAGACAAGTACTCTCCGTTGGGCCGGTCGTGTATGTACTGACCAACACTGTAGTCGCCTAGCGCGAAGTAGCGAAATTCTCCCTCCTACTTTTTGTTGCTAAGGTGCCATACTTTTTTGTGGTACAGCGCACACCTTGTTTTAAAAGAGCAGCGACACAAATTTGCGAAGACAAGAAATATTTATGTGGAGACAATCGCTGCATCTATGGAATATTAAGAGGAAATCTAGCCCAGAACATATTTAAAAAATCAAATTTGTAACGCGCGAATAAGCGAGATGTGGTGCCCTTCACGACGCCGACATCAATATAGGGGCAATGCAAACAAATATACGTCACGAGTTTGTGTTGACTGGTTGCTGGCACGCGCCTTTCGCCTGCGCTACTTTTGAATTCCTCCTCCGTGCCTGCGGGTGTGATGGCTGTCAGTGCGGCGCCACGTCACAGTTTTGCGTGGGCACGTGACCAGCTGTGTTCACCTTGCCCCGCCCAGAACGGCTCCCGCCTAGCTCGGTGCTCTTTAAAACAAAAACTAAGGACTGGGTGATTTAAAAACCTATCTAAATGAATAACCGTCGTGCCCTCACGCAAACGAGGTTTCCAGCCGTGATGATTGGGTCATAATTAAGCTATACCCCATGCAAAGAAAAAAGGCGCAATATTGCTGCGACAGTGTTTCTTGACACCATGCTTCGCGTAAACTAAGCGACCGACGATGGTATGCGGCAAGTGGACTTCTTATACGTATGCTTCAATATCGTGCTTCTATCGCAAGCACTTGCGCAATCTTTTGTCTTTCTGCCTTTTATGTGCGTTTGAGCAGGCTGAGGGAAATGTAGGTGGAAAGGGTTCGAATGACGTTCTGAGCGATTATCTTATCGTGATCCAAATGATAAATTTGTTTGCTTTTCTTTGCACATGTTGTTTCGTCCTTCGGCGCATCCTTTTGGGCTTTCTCTTATCTTTTGTTTTTGCGTACACATAATTGTGTATCTCTTGTCATTTGTAACCTCTCGCTTATGACATGACGATATGACATGATATGACATGACGATAGTTACGGCGGTATGACATGGCGATAGTTATGGCGTGAGAACAGAACGAAAAAACTTCACCAGGGAAGCTTTATGTTTGTTCTGACGTGTTCTAATTTTAGTCACGCTCTGTCACACTTTATTGCAAATGTGAACCGACTAACCCCCTTTAGCCTGTTACTAAACGTGACCAATGGGAGGGGAGGAGGGGGTAAAATATGGGGAAGTGATAACAACCGACTTTAAAAGTGATAACCTGCATTCCTGATAATCTTGCCATTGCGTCGGAATGAAATTAACACAGGCGGTTTTGAGGAGGCGACATGTGAGAGGGTTGAAGGCGCGGTTTCAACCGACTTTGACGTTTGTCGCGTGACATTTTTTTTTTTTTTTTCAGTGCGCTTCGATAAACGAACGAGCGTTCGCGGCGAACGTTTCCAGTATTGCGACTGTATTGCCGGCTCTTGTGCGCGTCAGCGCAGCTGCAGTAAGACGGAGGTTGGGTACAAAAGACGCTGCGAGTGCTGAAGATTTTCTTACGTTTCCAGTACCTACCTCGTGCCATGGCTCGTCAAAATCGCAGAGAATTGAGTTCCGCTTCTGTTAAACTCGCTAACTGGAGGCTGATCTGTGGTGCTGTTGTATGGAACAGGGTAAAAAACGTAAGCATCAACGTCACGCTCTCGCTGCTTCTGTGGCCTTTTTTTCCCCCTCTTTCATTGTTTGTTTTGGCTGTTTTGACGGAAGTAATGGTAGCCGTACACCTCGGTTCTACAGGCACTCAACTCCTGAACCCGAAGGTCGCGATTTCGATCCCGTCTTTTTCAGCATGCGGAGACTTTTGAGTGGGATAAACTAATAGCGAACAAAATTTGGGCTTTATTTTCGCTTTGTAACATCAATGCTTTCTATTCATGTTATCGCAAGTGCACATTTAAATCTACGCTGTAAGTCAGTTTCATACATAACCCAGTGCTTCTTCCTGTCGCAATGGTACGTTTCTTATAGGAATGAACATCAACGTCTCATTATCTTTCGCTCGTAAGTCCCAACACCGTTGAGCCGCTATGACGATTTGACAGATTTACAGAGAGAGATACAGAGAGAAAAAACATTTTATTTAAATTATTCTGAATAGGGAGGGGGGGGGGGGTGGCTCTCAGTCTAGACTCTTTTTCGTGTTTCAGTC